TTCGATTAAACGAGTCGGAGGAAGGTGCCTTGTTGAGGAAAAAAATAATAATAAAACTAAAAGATTAGTCCCGAATATTCCCTTTTTTTTTTTAATCGTTGCATTGCGTAATTGTCATCGCGAATGTTGACGTGGGGTACATCTGGGTCAACAACTTGGCACGAAGTGTCGTTACTATTTCTGCGTCACGACGATCGTCCCTCGTAGCCCAAAATCATATTTCTTCCGATCGTCCCCGTCTACGATGTTTCCTCGTTTCGCGAAATATTAAAAATCTCGATTTTTTCCCGCGGACGTTATGGAATGTGGGAGATCGAAGGGACAAGGAGGAAGTAGGAAGATCTCGGGATCGGTGGACGACGCAGTTTCGGGACGCATCGAAACGCATTGAGGATATTTTCGTGTCCCTTGCGATTTCGATGGCTCGTTACGTCGCGGGATCTGCGTGAATCCACGGAGCGATTTTGCTGACGCGCTATGACACGCGAAACCGCACGTCGTGACGCAATCGTACAGGCGAATCCACAATCTTCCTCGGGGCACAATTTCGATTATTACCGGTACGTTCGAATTCGCCGGGACGTATATTTCGCCGAAGCCCCGTGCATACGAAGGTTTACGTAACCGCCTATGAATCCGGACTCCTTCGGGCTCTCTTACGTCTGGCCAAGCAGGACCGGACAGCCTTGTTCGTGTTCTTTTTCGGCCCGTCGTTTTAGACCGCGACGGAAAATTTTCGGCACGGGCCATCCTACGAATGCGTTAATATCCTCCGCGTCCGGCCAAGCCTCGAAGCTCGAGAGTGCCGAAGAGTTCCTTCTTTTTCCTTTTCCCTCTTTTTCTGCTCCTGAAAAAATTGCACATATATGCATATCCGCGTATAGGTCCCCGTCGACGTGTTCGATTTGTTTTTCGCGTCTGGCGAGCCAGGGAAGAGGGGTGAGGCTTGCACTTTGCGGATGCAACACCGATTACGAGAAATTCTGGTTGCGCAATCCGAGACCGATAGCGGACGGCACATCGGGGATTTTTTCTTTGCACCGGGGAAAATTGACCGAGGACGTATCTGGGACGGAGGGACGTATGAAAATAAATCCGTAATCGATGCAATGAATTTTTTTTTCGCTCGGAAGGCGTAGTCAAATAGGAAGGGAAGGCAACTTTCCGGAAGTGGACGCGGGTCTTTGACTTTGGGTTGCGGTAGGTCCTGCGGTATTTCGCGGCAGGGTCCAACAATGCGCGCAACGACGTTGCGGGCAAACGGGATGCAACATGGACGCGGTATCATTGTTGACGGGCAAAGTCCGAAAGCGATGCATCACCGAGACACCGTCCAGCCGTTCTACCGGGGCGATAGAACTTTGCCTCTCTTTCTCGCCGACTTTTTCCTCCCGTTCGCCGCCAAGATCGGCGAGCAACGGTTCGCTCGTATCGTTTATCGGAGGTTAGACCGGGTTTAGGAAACAATTTCTCCAGGGCGGCTGGAGATGGAAACGAGCCCCCTTATCGACCTCCCGGTCGGGCCTGAGACCCCTTGACATCTTTGCGCAATTTCCCATACGTAAGAGTGACACTTCCAACCGTAATTGGCACCTCGGGGCGCGGTGCCAATGGTAACGATTAAACGGCGATTTGATTTTTCCCTCGCATCCAGGCGACTTTTTAAATAAAATCGATCCCTGTCGCGAGGTTAATTGCCGAGTACCCGCGGTTATGGCAATTCGAATGCCGGGTTTTCGCTCGCAGGCTTACGTAAGACGCGGGCCCCTGTTAGGGATGATTGATCCATCTCCGAGATAACTATCGGACTGATAACCGCGCAGTCAGGCGAGGAGAACGGGCACATATCGGAATTATCCAATACACGCGTAACGTAGGTTACGTTCGACCACTATCTCCGGGTGAATTTACCGGGAGGTGACTCGATCGGATCTCTCAATAAGTCCGTAATTACCGAGAGGATTGCGCAAGAGATCCGACACCCTTCACGTCCGTCGAACGTGCATGCCGATTCGCTTCTTCGTCTGGGATACGAAACTTCGACACCCACAGGGATCCTAAAAACGTCGTCGACCGACGAATCGCGGGGAAGATGAAGTCCCTCGACAGTTTGGAGAGCCGTAAACTAAAAATAACGGACGATTTCGAACGTGGAACCGTCCACCGAGATGGGCTTACGCGGCGGCCATCTTGAAAAACCCGGCGATCCCGTTCTCCAAAACAAATTTCAATCTTCCTTATCGAGCTGCACGTTAATTTCTCTTTCTCTCCCTCTCTCTCGCTCCTTCGAGTACTGGACGTGAGATTATAAAAAAACGTGACAATTGCGAGCCGATGATAGTGGTTAAAAGAGAGGCTTTCGAGGTCGAGCCTATCGAAACCTCCTTGAGAGGCTCGAAGCCCTTGCGCGTGGTAATTCGAATCTAGAGACCCGTCGAACATTTAACGCGTCTCGTAAGGAAACGGAGAGAGGGGACTCTCGTCTGAAGTCGGAATCGACAGGCTGACTTTCGCGAAAAGCGCTATTTCCGAGCTATCGATCGAGGCCGGCCGGCTGCAAAAATTGGCGGGGTTGGACAATGGACCGAAGAAGCGCATCCATGGACGGATGCTCGAACGAGTGACCCAGTTTCCTCGTTAACGTCGGATTTGTAACCGATTCGCGAGACGGGAGATTCCCTCGGGTAGAATCTACGACGTTGCGGAGGAACGCACTCGGAAGTGCATCTGGTGCATCAGCCTCCGGGCATGCGCGACATTCCGGCATATCTCTTCTTCACCTGTAAATCGTTACAAACAGTCCGCCGACATGTCGCTCGAAAATGTACCTTTACCCCAACCGGGGTGAACGGTGCACCCCAAATTGCGGCGGAGCTTAAAAATGAGCGAAAAACGGGCGAAGGAAATAATTTCCGTCATTACCCGAGATCGTAACGCACCTTACGAGCGCGGCCTGTTATTCCCTTTTCCCGTCATTAAAAGCGACTTTCTTGAGAAACAGGTATGCGTGCTGCGTTTACGTCGAAACGAGACGGGCTCGTTAGTATGTCCAGTTTCCATGGCTCGTGGCTTACGATAGGCCTCGACTTATCGAACTCGACGTCGTCCTCGTTGTGTAATTCGGGGTCTGTCTACTCGCTCCTGGAAAAATCCCATTCCGGAGAGGAAACTATCGAGACTCGTTTGTGTATGGGTATCTCAATCGAGAACGTCCCTCCGTCCGTACGTGATCTTTGGGGAAGTGTGAGAGACCGTCTTCCGATAACGTTATCGCGACCCTCTGACTCTTACCGCGGCCGACGGGAGGAGATCTTTCGGAAAAGAAACCCACCCGAGAAATTAAACGACTCCTCTCTACGCCTATCGCGAATAAGGCCCCTTCTACAATCAGTCCTGAAACGACTCGTTGTTTGTCGCATTCGTTTACCGATGGATTAGCCCGTCGTTCCTGCCGCATCGAGGATGCACCGGAGTTTGAATGCACTTCTAGGAAATCCTACCCTGTTGTCCTGCAATAAATGTATAGTAATTCACTTTTAGGACATGAAATTTATAATTCTACTACAAGCTTATGTACCAAAAGTGCACGAATATTATGAATATTTTTAACAGTGTAGTCATCGGCTTCGGACAAACGATATCGATTTACGATACGTCGTCCATCCGGATGATGCCTGGAAGAAAAATTGAAAAATTTGTTCGATTTTCTCTCATTAAAAAATAATGGTCGATTTTAATTATCATTTTGATTATGCGATACCATTTAATGGCACAGGTAATTAGACGGGTCAAGAGACGCTGATATTATTTAAAATGACGATACTGGAGGATCCTTTTTAAATGCGAAAAAATAAGGAAGTTTTTCGGAATGGTATTTTTTTTTTTGCTATGCGGAATCGCAAAACACAGTTGTCCGCAACGTGGAACAATAATCTTTCTCGTGCGGAAAAAGTAGGAGTAAATCGCATCTAATTCTACGCGATTTGACGTAATGCACGAAATAATTGTACGATTTGCGACGGAAGGCGTGTTGAAAGTTAATAAGCGACTGCCACCCATTCGTTCTGCCTCCCCTCGCGCGGTTTATTAGTCGCGACTTCCTTAGCATTTTAGCCGATTGCGAATGAGAGATTGATATAATCTCCGCGGAATATGAGGCAGATTCAGGAAAAAAAAAATAATCATACAAAAAAGCCCGGCAACCTCCATCGATCCGTCCTAACCGTCCTTTTGTGCAAATGACAAGCCTAAGGAGCATCGACTCGACGTGCTAAATTATTAACATTTAACCCTTGCTTTAACCGCAGAAACGATCAAATTGCCCTCCTAGAGTCGCGTTTGCAATTGAGTTTTGAAAGGTTCAACGCGACGGAGTCATTTACCCATTGTATGCAAATTAATAGAAATCTTGGGGGCATTTTTACCTCGGTCGACTTTTAGAATACCAAGCCGTGCATAAAATAAATTCGAAGCGAGCTCATTTGTGTCTACCCGTCTATGCCCCGAAGATTATTTTTTACTCCACATTTTTTCCCTGACAAGATCATTAAGAAATAAAAAAACCACCCGGTTCGAGTTTGGGCACTAATTAGCGTTGGCTTTAAACTCAAGGGACGACAAAAACGGGCGAACGCAGCCTTTACCCATAGAAATCCTAATTTTCTCCATTAGACCGTAATGACAGCTTACGCGTCCCACGTCATACGATAGCCTTGCTCCTTAACAGTCTAGGGAGCAAGGTCGATGAATGGAAGTGGATTTTCATTTCCGGCTACTTTCAAATGCAGACTCGAGCACGGAGCTCCGTCTCGAGCCTCGGCGGGTCAGGGGTCACCGGCATCTTTTTGTTTTTTTGCTGCCCTAGAATCCGCGGTGTTTGCATATTGTAAAATCGACCGCGGCGTTTATTGCAGAGCCTAGAACGAGTTCGACTTTCTAAGGCCTCTCGGCACGTATCGACGGCCAGGGGAATATTTTTCATGGGTTTTCCTTGGTTGCAGATGCCGACCTGAGCATCGGGGCCGGCGGGGCGGGCGGGTCCGTCCTGGGCCTGCCTGGGTCAGGGGTCACCGGAGTCTTGTCGCAACATTGCGCGATCTGCGGCGACAGGGCTACCGGGAAGCATTACGGAGCTGCCTCCTGCGACGGATGCAAGGGGTTCTTCAGGCGGTCCGTCAGGAAAAATCACCTGTACACCTGCAGGTGAGTGCACCTATCGATCTCCCAAACGACGGTCCAATCTCGGACCGGCGCGACGCCTTTCGACGGGGCTCGTCGTCCAAAAAACCGCATCGGTTACCATAATGCATGTATCGAGCGGGAACGCGGTAATGGAGAGCACAGAAGGAACGGGAAGATCCCATTCCCATCGAGCGTTTCTTTTCTTTTCCGAGCGGTCGCCGCATACGTAACTGCAGGAAATGATTACCCCCCAAAGGAGGAACGGAAACGGAGAAGAAAGTTTCTCCTCGACCGGGCGCGAGTTGGAACATTATTCCTACGGAAAATAATTTTTTCATCTCGTTCGATCGACGACAGGTTCAGTCGAAACTGCGTGGTGGACAAGGACAAGAGGAACCAGTGTCGCTACTGCAGACTGAGGAAGTGCTTCAAGGCCGGCATGAAGAAGGAAGGTGAGCCGAGTCTCCATTTTTTAATCCGGAGGTCGCGAGATTTTCGGAGTCGTCTGAAAAGTCCTTTTTCGGCGTTTCTCCCCAGCCGTGCAGAACGAGAGGGATCGCATCAGCTGCAGGAGGCCCAGCTACGAGGAGCAGGCCAATAACGGCGGAGGTCTGTCGGTGGTTTCCCTGTTGCAGGCCGAAATGCTCAGCAGGCAGGTCGGGGCTGCCTTAGAGGTCAGTTTAATTTAGCCTTGGCGCTGAATATTTATTATTTGAGCCCTGGGCCCCGAGGAAACGTATAATTTAATCGGAATTACCGCCGCCGCCGACCGACTCCGCGTCGGCTCTTCGGGTATGGATTTCACGCTTAACGTTTGCTACAAAATTTAATGGTACTCGCGATCGGGAAACGTCGATTAAGGGAGGGTGATGGTGGCATCCGTAGAGTCCATCGTTCGTGAAACTTTTCTCCAAATTGGGTATACCGAATCGTTTCAGACTGTCCAACATGAATATAGAGACCACAAGGAAGGTCTTGACTGATGAAATTTCGAGTTTTATGAAAAATTAAAAAAATATCTATAAACGAATTGTTGAAAATTTTCAATGACGACGATTGATATCTCAGATGCCACTTTCGCATCCCCTTAACGAACGTATCGGGCTGCTGAGGAAGAGGTTCCTTTCTTCGTCGTTGGAGTCGATGGGTCGTTGGAGTAATGACGGTTTTTAACAGCTAGGAAGTCCGAACGGCGACACCGACCTCAGTACCAAGCAGATAGCCAACATCAACGACGTCTGCGACAGCATGAAGCAGCAACTGTTGATTCTGGTCGAGTGGGCCAAATATATTCCGGCTTTCAGCGAGCTGACGTTGGACGACCAGGTGGCCTTATTAAGGGCGCACGCCGGCGAGCACTTGCTGCTCGGCGTGGCAAGGCGCAGTATGCACATTAAGGACGTCCTTCTGCTGGGCAACAACTGCATCATCACGAAAAATTGTCCCGGTAGGTGAAGCTCGGAGGAAGCTCCCTTCTACGTGCTCTCTCGGATCTGGTCCCCTACGTGCTGAGCGCGGCATGCGACGCTCTCGGCCGGAATCGATGCACCCAAACGAGAAGCGGAGATTCGTGCAAAAGTGGGCATAAGGAGCCGTGCAAACATCGCGACTAAATCTTCCCGGTGGAAATTGAAGGCGAAAAGCCCCTTGCATCGCTTTTTTCAAGACTCGGTGCATCCGTGATACGCGTCGAGCCGCGACCGAGGTTCGGGTCGAGACTTTAAACGGCCAGCGGGGACCTTCCCTTTTCATTACTTTTTTATTTTTTTTTTTAACGAACAACAGGGGGAAACGTAGAGGCGCGACATGCTCACGTTTGTACACGATCGATGGTATGTCTTAAAGATTTTTGTTCACCTGGGAAACTGGGTTTTAGGTGGAAGGGAACTGGGACAGGTTGAGGGTGCGGCCTCGGCAATTTGGATGCCCTCCAAGTAACATTTTTGGGAAAGACGTACCCCCTTACCTTGTATGCAATTTGCTTCCATATTTTATTCTTAAATTTTCGGAGACCACCTCGTCTTCCGCCGTTCCAAATCCCGCGACTGATATCGCGCGGCCGAGAAACGTGAAACGCGAAGCAAGTTGCGTGCAAGGCTCGATTTTCCCTACCCGGCAGGTGCACGTCAGAAAATCGTGTTTACGGAAACGCGTTCGTAATTAATTGGCTCTGAACTGTACGCAAGCAGACGTCAGTCAGTGGGACTGTCAAACGCGTCGTCGGGCGCGACGAGGAACGCCCATTCGTTGTTGGGAATGCCGATGCGGTTGTCCGGAGCAAAGGTTTCGCACCTTTGCACCGAGCGTGTCTTTATTGCGTACTTTCATTACCCTTAGCTCGCGGAAGGTCCTTATTCCCCATCGATCGAAGGTAATTTCTGAACGATTCGAGCGTCGGATCGATCTAAAGTCCGCAATCTCCCTCCTAAGTATTTGCCCGACTCGGAAGTCGCGCGAAACGGCTCTACGCGAATGCATCGATACCACTTTTTCTCGTAAATAACAAATCGCAAGAAGCCCAGGGTCGTTTCGCGTCGCTCTTCGAGGCAGGAAAGTAGAAGCAAACCAGTGAAAATGCAATGAATACCCCGCTCCTAATAATTATTCAGATTCAAGCAGGCCTCTTTTTCGAGCGCTTGCAAGCTCGAATTGCAAATTCTCGACAAGTGAAGAATTAATTTGGCGGCGGTGCTTCGAATACGACGCTTTTACTTTTTATATTTTTTTTTTTTTCCGGGAAGAGACTTGAATCTGGACGATTGACATATTTGCACGATCCTGGGGTGTAGCTAGTTGACTGAGTCCGGGTTTTTATGTGTTTTGTGTCGGTCGTACTTGCATGCCTGGTGGTTTGGTTTTACGAAGATCATCTCGTAACTCCCAGCACCGGACTCAGTCGCGCTCGTAATCAGGGACGGTATAACCGTGTTTGTCAGTGATATCGTTGTCCGCAGAGGGCCGCAACCAGGACCTCGACATCAGCAGGGTGGGCGTCCGGGTGATGGACGAGCTAGTGAAGCCGCTGAACGAGGTGCAGATCGACGACACGGAGTTCGCGTGTCTCAAGGCCATCGTCTTCTTCGACCCGAGTAGGTGGAAAGTCCCCCGATAGGGAAAACTTCTCCCGGGTTAAATATTCCCTTCACCTTTCGCGGTTAAAGTTACGGATAAGAACGCCCTCCTCGACTTGGTTCGCAGACGCGAAAGGCCTGAGCGAGCCGTCGAGGATCAAGCACCTGCGCTACCAGATCCAGATCAACCTGGAGGACTACATCAGCGACCGCCAGTACGACAGCCGAGGTCGCTTCGGGGAGATCCTGCTGACCCTGCCGGCCCTGCAGTCCATCTCCTGGCAGATGATCGAGCAAATCCAGTTCGTCCGGCTCTTCGGGGTCGCCCACATAGACAACCTGCTCCAGGAGATGCTGCTGGGCGGCGCGACGACCGAGGTGAACGGCTCGGCCACCTCGATCCCGATCTCCAACGCGCCCGGAAGCTACGTCAGCAGCAACGAGAGCCCCAGCAGCCCGCTCACCCCCGCCAATGCGGGTCCCCTGAGCCCCCAGGACCACATGCTGGGCGCCGGGAGCCCCGTCATGATCCTGAGGGACCTCACGCCCATCACCGCCCAGGAGAGCTCGGTCTCCGTCACCGGGTTCAGGCTCTTCAAGCAGGAGCCCAGCCTGGAGACCGAGCCCACCTTCTGACTAGAAGACGAATTGCCTGTTCCCATGGCGGAACTCGACTGCTGATCGCCGAGTTCCGCCCGTCCGGAGGACCTACCTTCCAGGGAACAAGTAATTCGTCCTGCCTGCGCGTTTTCCCTCGATACGCGGCTCTTCCCCGCGGAAGGACAGAGAGGAATCTAAACGAACCGTAGAATTTCTCGAGTCTCCGTTGCGTAAAAGGAAAAAAAAAAAGAAACAGAGACGAACGAGAATTCATCTGTCCGTTTGATGTTAACCCATTAGCGTGATCGATGCCTCTGGCTTGCCCAAAATTAAAATCTTCCAAGGACGGGCGTTTAATATCGCGCCCGTAATAGCGATACGTCAATATGAAAAACGCGAGCTCGAGTCGTTGGGCAAGAGCCTGAAAAATGACGGAGACTCTTTCGTTTGCTCCGTTCGCGTAATCGACGGTTTGGAAAGGAATCTACCTCTCGGAAAGCCTAGATTTGATGTCGGGGCCACGACCGGTAGCCCCGAAGAAGGCCCCGGAAGGCAAGAGCGAGTTTTGGCAATCAAAGTCCAATTTGGGGAGTCCCGAATTGAACGAGCCCTGGGCCCACCGGAATCTAATCTCAACGCTAATGCGACGGTCGTTACCCGGCAATTATTTCATAATTTCCTGCCCCCTAATTAAGATGTCGCGTGACGATAAGATTGCGCAACTATTACGTTAACGGGTACGAATTTTCGTCGAGCAGGAATCGATCCTCGCTTCATTTCTGGAAAAAATCGTTCGACGTAGGCACGGAAAAGAACCTTTTCGCGAAAATTCGGACACACTGATAAAAATCTATGGAAATTTACATACATTTTTTACACCCTTCGTAACTTAAGTTTCACGTAGGAAAACGTTAAATGGAAGAATTACAAATTGGAAAATGGATAAATACCCCTCACATTGTATATTCATCGTATTGGTGCATTTTTACTCCAATTGAATGCAACATTATGTTATAATTTTCTATAATTTAACTCAAATACCGAATGTAATATTACAGAGACAATGTAATTTTACAGCAAATCAACGTGGCATCAAAATAACTAGTGATTGAGTATGTAAATTCTCATGGGCATTTTTATCAGTGCACGCGGAACGCTCGAACGTCGGCTCAACCGCGATGACAATAATTAGAAGTAACGTTAAGTAATGCGCCGTTAGCACGTAAGGAGCACTAAGTTTTTAATTGTACATACGAAACCGTGAATTCGCCATCAATTGAACAACAATAGCCGTTCACGAAGGTTCTCCTTTCCGTCGATGAAATTCACAGGCATGAGTCGTATCCAGATAACGTGTAGAATTATTTATTGATACGCGGAAGAAAATCACATTTTCGGGACTACCATACGGCGATGTTACGTGTTTTATTTCTTTCTTTATATATTCGTATGTGCATAGATAAACATATTTAAGGTACACCACATTCCGAGATGAGCGACGTCGAATGTACTGTATATATACATATACATATACATATACATATACATATTATTTGATAGCAAAAAGCGCACGCTTAAGATGGATGCGTTTTTTGATATCGTACGCCATTGCAATGCAATTTAATTACGTAGCACCGAGATAAGGGGTGCTTTGCACATCGGACGGGAAATGCTGTCCGTTGCCGTTAGTACGTAAATCTTAGCGAGATGACTTTAACGTAACTTTACGTGACCGGATACTAAGCAATAGTACGAGAGTAACGAGTCCTTTGTCAATTAAACAAACATGATATTAAGACGTGCAATTTCCCGGAGATGGTTGCGAGGTGCAGCGCTGCAGCAGGAACGAAGGAATATACCATGATTAAAATATACCGTTAAGGATAATTAAATTTTAAATATTCGACAAGAATTTGCGAGCTGTACGGTGGGCTTTGTGATCTCTCCGGGATGTAACTGATAGTTTTGCTCAATTCTTGAGAAAGGGATGTACACTGTCAAAAGGTACGAACCTTTACTTCCGAAAGTGCCTCGACGTATGTTTTTATGTCTAGCGCATTACTTTTTCCGATACCGGCGAGGATTTCTTCTAAAGTGAAGTACATTAAATTGTGCCAACTGTAGAAACAGTGAATATCGAGACACAAATACAAGAAAGGTGCCGAGAATCGAAATGCATCGCGCGAGAAAATGCGGACGTAAGCTACCATCGTAATAATCGTCCAATTAAGTATTGAATATTTTACCGCATAGACGCTATCCATAACCTTTCGACTTTCAGTAGGGTATATCGAGTAAGCATAAATTTTGTATTTTTTTATGAGAAGATTTTATAAACTTACGCCGTCGACGTAAGACTCAAAGGCTTGTACATAAAACAGCTTTACTTTTACGCGATATATTGCATCGGAGAGGGAAAGTTTTATCTGGACAGACGTCCTGAGCTCGTTTGGTAAATTAGTAATTTTTATTGCGTTTCAGTAATTTATCTTAACATTATTATTTAGTCGTGGGTTGTGAACTAGACGTTACCGTTGCCTGTTGTCTGACTTTCTTTTGTCTTCTTTTATTTTATTTTTTATTTTTTTTTTAATGAAAACGTTGTTGACAGTTCCAATATGACTGACTTTGTGAAAAAGTCGTAAAGCATTTTCAACTCGTTATTTAATAATTATTACTTACTCGTTTGTATGTTTAATAAAGGGATATGTGATTAAGTGGATGGATTGATTTTACGCTAAATGAATAAGGAGAGCACATTCTAAAATTGAAAACTAAATCCAAAACAAGATGATACTTATGTAGAAAAATTTATTTAATAACCATTTCTAAAACTGTAATCAATATTTGAATGTTAACTTCCTTCGGGTAATATTATATTAACGGGGAGTGGAATTTTATTTAGATCACCTTATTAATAGTTTACCAATTGAGTGAAAAAATATATGGAGAATCGCTTGAAATTAATTCAACTTTTGCTGTTAGAACTAATACCACCACGTTTACGTTTCTTATGTATTACTACCATTTCCGCCGTCTTTATATTACCCCCTCCCTTTTCCAACCATTCTATCAATTGCATCCTTGCTTTTCTTCCAGTGAGAAATAAATTCCGTTCGAGTATTGGCATCCGATTTCCAATAGTAAGATCTGTACCTGGATTTTGTGCCCAGTCCATAATATGCCGAAATCTTGCCTTGAATGTCTAAGCATATGAAACACATTTAACTTATAAAAAGCTAACTTGAAGAAAAAACTTCAAAGACAGAAATAAAGATCGGCTCATACATGAAGTAGTATATCCGCTATCTTCTCGCTTTCTGTGTGATTGCATTTAGCTAATTGAATGCCAACTTCATAATAATACAAATTCCATTTTGATAATTCAACCGCACATGCATCTGCTTTCAATATTTCTCTAAAATAAGTAATTCTATAAAATAAAGCTTGCCAATAAATACATACTTTATAAATCCCTAATATTTATTATGTTGAAATATCAATCATTAAGTATTTAATGAAAATAAAATGCAGCAAATGTACGATATAAACCTATGTGCTTCCTTATACATTTTTGGAATGTCTATAGTTACTGTGGGTGGTTGTTTAGCATTCAAAGAAAGTGCTAACCACAAAGGCAGTTCCAGTTTAGTTCCTGCCTTTAAATCTGTATGGTCGGACGATTCGTCCAAAAAACCTGCGAATTAAATCTAAGCTTGTAATCTCTTGCCTCGAAGTCAAGTGACAATTAAAATTAACGAAAGTTGGAACGTAATGTAAATTGTTTGGAGTAGAAGAGGTTAGAACGCCATAAACTTACCTAGACGCGGCAGGTCTTGTTCAATCTTACACGTTAAACGCTCTTGCGAAGCTAAAATATCAGTCAGTGAAAAATAGTCTGGATAGTAACTTGCAGTCATAGCCATTTTGCGGAAGAAATGAACAAACTACATAAATGACTGAAAACTATTTTCCTTCTACTTGACATGTATCTGTATGCACCTGTATATACCAAGCAGGGTCGGTCAGTAAAATACCCTAGGTAATTTCCTCAGTTTTTACGGTAAATTACCAATAAATAAAATTACCTATAAATTATTCAATCCCCTAGAAATAGCGCCGTTCCGTGAACTAGCTGAGAAGTCAAATCTAATTAAGATTAACTTTTTCCTTCCGATATTTATAAAAGTAAATGACGCTGTAATCATATTTTATGCGCCCGGCAGAAACAGATATGAGAATCATAAAGTCCAATTTTTAAGTAATTTACATCGCGTACAAAACTCGTAACGTAAAATATCTAGTATTTACTGTAAACAACTACCTAAATTATCTAGGGAATTTTACTTATTCTATTCTAGTCCTACCTTTCTCTTAAGAAGTGAACTTCTAGCAAAGAATCACGAAGAATTCAGATGTTTTTAATCACGTCTGAGTTCGCAGACTTTACATGATTTAATTAAATTATTGGATTGCTATAACAATAAGGTAAATAATTTAAAAAATGATACTAGAACAATGATCTATTCAACAAAGAATATATAAATTATAAACATCCCCGGATGTAAAATAAAAATTCACTGTTAGCAAAGGAACTAAATCTAAAAAATAATTAAATTATAAAATCGTTTAATTATAAAAATAACAAGATGAACATAATAATTGAAGATTCTCGAGGAAACTTGATATCCATCTCTGTTGAAGAGACAGACACATTCAGTGAACTTAACAGACGTATGCAAAAAGAATATGGATTAAAAATGGACTTTAGTAATTTACAAGGGGAAGACAATATCGATTTAGATGAAAACATTCTTACTTCTCTAATGAGTGAGTTTGCAATCTTTTTTAAATAATTGCTTATAAATGATTAACAGGAATCAAATCAGTAATTTCAATGGTTTATGTTTACAATAATAATTTCAGGAAGCCAAAGGTTTGTTGTTGTCGGCGACAATACTGGTATTGAAACCGAAGGGACTATTGCAGAAAATCAATGGGAGGAAAAATATAAACCCATAGTAAAAGAAGAGATAATTATTTATACAGAAGAATTAGAAGAAAAAAGTACCGGTATCTTTCACAAACCAAATCCATTATTGAAAGAATACCCATTATCATTAGACCAAGTACCAAAAATTGAAGAAAATGTAGAGGTTCATCAGCAAAATGAAGGCATTGAAACTCAGAAGGATCAAATTAAGTCGAGTAATAATTATCTATATAATGGAACTCAAAGTGCGGCGAAAGTAGTTCTAGAAATAAAGAACGATGTGGCTTCCCCACTTTGTAGACTCTGTTCACGTAGAAGCGACAAAATGGTATATATTTTTGGATCAACCGACCTGGAAAAGAATATAGCTGAGAAAATAGATATCTGCTTGCCTATTATGGTACGTATTATTCATTGTAGTAAACCTAGTATTCGTATAAAGTTAATTCCAACCCTTAATGTATCTAACATTACATATTTAGGTAAACAAAACGGATACATTGCCAAAGCAAGTTTGTTATTCCTGCTTGGAGAAGTTAGAGATGTGTCACGAATTTCACAAAACCGTTTTAGCATCCGAATTAAATTTTTTCAAAATGAGCTCGGATCCACAATACTCTAAAGCTGAACGGAAATTTTGTTTGCTATACAAGCAAAGTACGAAAAACGTTTCTTCCAAAGTTTTCAAAAGGCATCCAAATGAACAAGAAAATAATTCAACAGAAAATGAAAACGATTCTGAACAAGTATCGAATAAGTCTCTGAATAATCAGTCAATTAAAAAAAAATATCTATTTTCAGAAGTAAATAAGTCAACATTGACCGAGTCTTCAAATGCAGGCTCACTAAAACCAGAGAATACAGCTATAATTGTATCATCGTTCTTAACAGATCCATTAATTTCATCAGACAGTAAGAAAATTGAAGACTCTATATTACCAGGAATAGAACCTTGTAACGATTCAGAAACAAAATCGAAAACATCTCTTGAAAACAAATTTGAGCATACCCATGAACTTTCTCGTGAGATGTACTGTGGAAAAGAAGATGATAAATATGCACTTTATCCTTATGTAAATTTAGGTGAGCATGCATATAAAAAGTTAAGTCGATTTTCATTAGCAGACTGTAAGTTAAAGACTGTAACGTGTCGCGTTTGCGGCGCAAGTTTTCGCACTGTTAGAAAGTGCTATGAACATTCACAAGTTCATATAACCGAAGGTTATTATCCCTGCAGTATATGTGATAAAACATTTAACACGAAGGAAGAGTATAACGAGCACAGTGTTCAGCACACCGAAGGCAAAAAATATGAAAGGAGATTAGCCACCTATGTTTGCGGTGAATGTGGAAAAAAATTTGTCACCGAAGGAAGACTTCGGTTTCATACTACGTTTCATGAACCAAACGCTACCCCTCGCTATTGTGACAAATGCAACAAGTTTATGGTTTCAGAATCATCTCTTTACCATCATCTTCTTAGAGTACATTTACAGTACAAGGAGTTCTGTTGTGACATTTGCGGTCAACAGTTTAGGTATTTTTTAAAGTAGATAATAAAAATATTTCAATTTATTAATCCCCTATCATCATTTATTAAGTCACATAAATCTCTCTTTTATAGAGCTCAAACACAACTGGAATCTCATCAGAGAAAGCACAAAGATGAGCGACCCTTTGAGTGTATGGTATGCAAAAAGCGTTTTTATTCCAATGAAATTCTGCAGCGTCACAAGAAATTGCATCTGCCGGATAAGCCCTACCAATGTGATCAATGTGGAAAAAGATTTGACCGAATGAATACCCTAACAAAGCACTTATTAAGACATCAGGTGGAAGCAGGTCGATCAATGTTATGTAACGTTTGCACTGGTTGCCACGAAGTTTTAAGCGAAGAGTCACAGATAACAACGCATAGCTTAACTTGTGAAGCCATTAGAAACTCGAATAAACAAACTGTTGAGGAAAAAACTTTGAGGGCTATGTACAGATGCGAATTTTGTGAACGATCTTACACCGAAGTTAGGTTCATGAAGATACACCGATCTCACCACAGTGGACCATTGCCTTACATCTGTATAATATGTGATATTGCTTTCGCAACTTACAATCAAATTACTGCACACAAATCTGCCCATAAAAGATCACCAAAAGATATCAATGCCAAGGAAAACGTGATCGTACCAAAGTACTTCTCCTGTGAGCACTGTGACAAACATTTCCTACATTATACCAGCATGAATGTTCACAGAAAGGTTTGCGAAACAGGCAAGGTTTGGAGGTGTCGATACTGTGGATCTACCTTCAGGAATGCAAAAGAATTGACGAAGCACAAGTCCGGCCTGGACAATGGCGAAACCTGGAACTGTCAAGAATGTAATATTACTTTCAAATCTATTTGTGCTTACGAGATCCACATGGAGGTTCACGATGAAACAATTATTGGCCTCACTTGCCCATATTGTGGGAAAAAATTTATTCAGGTAAAAATCTGAGATATGAAATATTTAAAATATCTCCAATGTTCAATAGTTCTTATCTTATTTTTAGAGAACACATTTGACCATTCACTTAAGGAGTCATACAGGGGAGCGCCCATACGCTTGTGACTACTGTGAAAAAAAATATAAGATCAAAGCTGAAAGGGACAATCATCACAGGACTCACACTGGAGAGCGACCTTTCAAGTGTATTTTTTGCGAGAAAAGTTTTACCCATTCAGCCAGACTGAGAGAACACGTCAAATTTCACTCAGGTGTTCGACCCTACAAATGCACTCTCTGTGACCGAGCTTTCAAAAAAGCCAACGCAAGAACCGTGCACATGACCATTCACACTGGGGAGAAACCATATCGGTGTGATATTTGTGAAACGTTCTTTAGAAGAATCGGTGATATGCGAAAGCACAAGAGAACGCAGCATGGAATTGAAGAACGTTCAAACGCTATCAATACAACCAGTGACAATTTAAAACTAACAGCATGATGTAATTTTGTTACTTGACTTTTATAAATATTGTTAATAATTCTAAATATTATTAAATTAAATAAAATATTGTAACTAGACCATTATGAGACTCTGGATGTTCCTTTCAACCTTGCAAGCTTGAAAAATATTGAAGAAGAAAAATATTTCTATACATACAGTTATTTGATTTTTTTAGTTTATTTTTTTTAAACCTAATATTTCTTTAAATTGTACAAATATTCCCAGGACGACACAAATTGCTGGTATGGCCATATCCTTTTCCCTAAAAATCGATGCGAAACCGAATGTGTTAATATGCATTATTGATAACTACGATTGAAACAGTGGTTTTAAATTACAGATTCAAGATGCTGTAATTAATTCTCCAGACGAACAAGAGACAAATCGCAGTTCTTCTTTGAAGTCTCAGAAGACTTCAAGGTCTCGGAATGGGATTTTGTTCATTTCTTCCCGTTCTGTGTTGAGATTTAATATTAAAAATTACGTAGAATAATTCTGATCTGCAGTCGAGCAGCTCAAGCAAAATTAATGTCACTAGATTTCCCCTTCGACCACGTGACCATGTTACCTTTTCGATTACCATGGCAACAAGACGATACTACCTGTATGATTACGGTACGGTGTTATTTGTGCAAGAAACAGTAGAATTGCAATCATTTCCACGTTTCTAATAATAAAGTACGGGCATTTTCTTGATGGATTCGAATCGGCCTATGACCGGTAAATCCAACGAGAGACCGGTAACTCGATGGGGCAGGGATCAAGATGAGTCCGGAGGGCCCCAAAATCGAACTCGCAGACCTTCGACTGGCGTCGAAAGGCCACAAAGTAAGTTGGAGAGACCAACCTCACGTCGAGGAACCAAAAACGAGATTAACGAATACGGCGATGGCATGCACTCGGCAGCGCCGAGCCAAAATTCGGTACCAAGGCCACCGTCTGCATCGATTTTCTCCAGTAGATCTCTCACTGCAAATTCTCGAGCAAACCTCATGAGTTCTGGCACAGGATTAGGTAGACTTAACACAGGTTTATCTACTACCAGTCAAATGAATGTTAACATTTTGGATCGACCGATCACACAGCAAGGCATTGCTGGCATTCGACCCGGTACAAACAGAGGACTACCGATGAACAGGTAATGATCTATTGTCCTTACCCAGTGACGTGATTTTAAAAAAATCATTTTTTGTTCACAATTGACTAATACCTTGCAGGCAAGTTCAAGACAAGAGATACTACGAAGGTCTCGTGCAACTCAAAATTAGAGAGCTCACACAGGAGATAGCTAGCATTAGTCGAGAGATCGATAGCCAAAGTAGAGACAGATTGACGCTTATGCACTATGACAAAAGAGCCAAAGACCTGGCTGCTGAACTAAGCGACCTACAAGGACAGCTGGCAGATTACAACATCGTTGTGGATAAGATGTCAATGGACATCGACAAGGAAGTCGTCGAACGAGACACTAGAGAATTGAGACAACTGAATGATCGCACATCATCGGAGATCGAAAGAATGTTTGAGCATCGTCAACAAAAGGAGCAGGAATTACGTAACTTAGAAAAGAGCATCGAGTTGGAAAGAAGAAATACCGAGAGGATCGTCGAAAGTATGGAACAAGGTATCAGGGACAAATACGATGGTTTAATTAAAGAAAAGACTAGGCTACAGGGTGCAGTCGATAAGATACAACAGGAACTTGATGAATTATCTAAGCAGAAGTCCACAATGGAGGAGCAGATAGCTCTCTCTCAGGTGAAACAAGAGGCAGTGAAACTACACGTTAAGATTCTGGAGACTGAGGAAAAGGTCGAGAAATTAAGAGCAGAAGAGAGAAATAAACTGACGCCGGAGGAAGAGAGAGAACACTTGCTGTCAAAGGTGAAACAAGATAACACTGACATAGCCGCAGCCGAACGGCAGATAGCCGATGCAAAGAAACGCACCGTGGAGTTGGAACAGGAATTGGAACAGCTGGAAACGGAGTTGGAGGAAAGCCAATCGGAGAAACAAATTAAGTACAAAGAGCTGCGTAAAAGAGAGGAGGTTATGGAACAGTTCATGTCCACCTTTGAGCGCACGAAGAAAGAAGAATTGGAAAAATTGGAAAAATTGGAAGCAACTGTCGTTGAAAGACTTGAAGCAATCTCCAATAATATAGACGGTGAAGCCTACCTGACATTAGGAGAGGAGACGGCGCTTCTGAATCTTCAACCCACCCAGGAATATCAGGTCCTGAGTGCTGACCAAAACCTTGAGAGCCTTGGCAAAGAGCACGCCAGACTGCAACAGGTTCTAATTAAGATGGAATCCATGGAGAAGAGATTGAAAACCGAACTGATGAATCTTAACGAAAAAATCAAAAAACAGCAGAGCGAACTGGTTACTTTAGAAGATCTGGACGGGCTGAAAGCACGGTACGAAATGAAGCGAGAGAAGCTACTCGCTGAAAAGGAGGAACTGAGGGCCTCGGAACCATCATGCATAAAAAAACTCAAAGCTGTCGAAGAAGAACATATGGTGATCAAGGAACGTCTAAATAAGAACGAAACTTATCGCCAGATCAGTTCTTTAGAGGGGAAGCTGGAAAAATTAAAACAGGATAATAAATCTATGGAAGAATTCATCGGTGAGGAACGCAATCGAGCCAATTATGCTCCCTTGAAAGATCACACGTTCAATCTAGTTGCTCGATGCAATCACGTACTTATGGACATTATGAAGCCAGTGTATTAAAGCCCTGTAATCTAACATATAACAATATGACTTTACGCAGAGAAACTATAAAAACAATTTATTACAACAAAAATCATGTGTTTCTGTATTTTTGGGCAGTTAAGCTTATTCGCTCTATCATGTTGCTATTCACAAATGTCTCTGGTAATTCCATCTTATTCGATTGTAACAACTCAGCGAATTTTTGATAGAACGCCCTCGATGGCTTCAGGTTTTCTAAATACATCTGCTCCCAGAGATTAATAGCACTGGTAGTATCTGATTGCAAATCTGCAAAATAAATTGAGTCTTTAAACAAAATTGTCAGAATCATGATCGCGCATGTTACTATTGGACCCTGCACGTTATTACAGGGAAATTGGAGATCTAAGACATACATGTTTCAACTTAACAGTTTTGATAAATTATTCCATTCAGTTGATTAAATACATTACTCACTATATTCCGAGAGAAGTTCTTCGTACAGTATCATTCTGTTTGTTAGCGGGTAATCCTTGGTTATCGTTAAAAACGTATTCAAAACTTTTAACTTTTCGTCTCTTCGGAATAGTGTTATGTTATGTCTTAATTTTTCAAAGCGTACAGGACGAATCTACAGTGAAACAAGTTAGGTGAGTTACAATAGACCATAATTTACTTTTTCCTAAATTTAAAATAACTTTGAATACCTTTATTAAATCACGTAGCTCCTGGTGCTTATTCAGCAAAGCTAATCCTATCATTAATTTCAATTGAACTATTTCAAAATCGTAAACGGTTTTTATTAAATTTAACACTCTCGTCAATAAAATCTGAGCCTGCTCATGCTGTGACTGAAGCAATGTTATTATGAGTCTTTGAGCTAATGCCATATTGCGATGCTCCTTGACAGAATTTTCGAATAAATCCACAGCAGCTGACAAATTCTCTTCCAATATATATGCCTTTAATAATTGACTTTGTAATTTATTTTTATCATGATGATAGCCGTTTTCAATGAGAAGGTTTATCATTTTATCCACCTTTTTACTGTCGACATGCATACACATAGTCTTTAAGAGAGCCATCACAGCATGTTGCAACCCATCGTTTGAGTGTGACATGCAACGATTCTGCTCAACAATTTCAAAAGCTTCAGCGACTTTGTTACCTTTAATTAATTTAATTGCACAGTTTATGATCTTATAACCACTCAATTTAAATTCACTGCAATTCTGAAGTTCTTTTATCGAGCTAACTGCCTTCTCGATCATGTTGTTATTCAAACAAAAATTTATGTAAGCTGCCTTCATCCCTAAGGACCATGAATGTTTTTCAGCTTCCAATTCTTTCAAAAGATTCTCTACCTTTTCCACATTATCACGATTGCAATATTTCAGGAACAGCTTCCTTAACACTCCTCGCGTGTTCATATTTTTACTCTTTAGTTCTATTAGATGACATTCCAAATCCTCAATTGACATTGTCTCTTGAACATTTTTTGGTTCCTGTTGGTAATCAGTGTTTTCAAGAGCAAGATCAGGTTCCTGTATCGAATCTATTAATGAATCGAGGTTCAACTTTTGATTATTGACTAAGATTTCCATTTCCTTCATTTTTGTGCAAACATTATTAGACAGAAATATTGAGTGCTCTTTAAAAGATTTCAGAAATTTCTTCAGCACATTTTCAAGATCATCAAAAGGTATTTTAGTGATCAGTTTGAGTATGAACTCTTCTGCTACAACTTTATTATTTCTCATCATCTTTATTAACTGTACATAACGATCCACATCCTCTGTCATGATATATCCTTTAATCATATAAGGCAAGATATACGCATGTGCAATTTTTATGTTATAACGGGTACAAACCTGTATAGCGTCTGTCAATCTACCGTTTTCAAGTAAAACTGCAAGCAATGGCGGAACCGATACAGCTGGTAAGACATTCTTAAGTTTTAATGCTTCCAAAATTACAAATGGATCTCTCGATCTCATGAAGTTGTAGACGTACATGTGCAAAGTGAGATAATCGAACCTAACTTCATTTTTAACCATATGTGACACTAATTCAAGTAATTCGTGCTCGCCATGCAAGCGCCCAACTCTCAGTAGCAGTGGCCAATAATAGTGAACTCTCACCTCCATGTAATCTTTCATATTTTCCAGCATGCATAATGCTAGATCTTTGTTACCTTCTTGTAATGAATACTTTAACATGTCGGATACTATTACATTATTATTTTGAGAAGTAGCTAACGATTTCACATACTTAACAATATCCTCAGTAGAATGTTGAACTCTACTTAATTGTTTTAACAAATAATCAATGTACCAACTTGTATTCTTGGACATTTCCTGAGAGAGGAAAAAGTCAATAATTTTGCATGCATCTTGAAAGTGATTAGAACAAATTAATGAGATAATCGTATTATTAATCACAGAATTTGTAAAATTTATGGGAAACTGAATGTATTTTAATAGCACATCGATATGCTTTCCGTGGTTGAAATGGCTCAACCATCCGATAATTTCCATGAGGTTTTCATTGTTCAATGTCTTGGCTCGTAAAATCTCTTCTAGTTTATCGATATCGCCTAGCTTTGCATATCCATATGACAAATTGACAAAAGTTTCAGGCGTGGGTTCTATCTCCAATGACTCCATATTTTTTATCACAGTGAGTGCACCCGTCATGTTACCGTTAGTGGCTTGGGCACGAACCATCAAGTTAAACGTATTTATATTCACAGGAAAATTCCTGTCCTTCATCATCAATATTACCGAAGAAACTGCATCTAAATTACCGGTTTTAGCAGCTATATTTAATAGCCCATGAAAAATATCTTGATTTGGAGCAATCGTCATGCTGTTTACAAACTCATTTGGATCAACCGAGGTAAGATTCTGAGCATAAATGTTTAACAACAATTCATAAGAGTTCAACGTCAATGGATTATCTATGTTTTTGACGATATCCCACATTTGACTCGTCAACTCTCTCTTCTTTTCGATACTGACATCGACTAACACATTACCGCAACATTGAAGAAAAAGTAGAGCTATCTCTTTGCTAAAAGAATCAGCACTTTTATAGGCATTGAATAAGTTTATGAAATGTTCATAAAATAGTACTCCTTTGGAAGCATCGCTGCACAGTGAAAGCAACATGGTTTCGGTAGGATTTATGACTCGGTCTTCATTATTCGGTGCGACCTTTAAGTCAGTTGAGTAACGTATCTTCGACGAAGTATCCAAATTTGATCGTTTCGGAAAAGGGTTGTGATAACCTCTATCGTTTGTCCAGTCGAAAAGTGTAAGGTTTAAGACGGACGTTACAGTGGACATCTTGTGTACACTTCGCGAGATTGAATACGCATTAACGAAATCTCGTACGAGTTTGCCATATCTAGGCATAAGTGCCATTCTTCGTCGTATTACCGGTACTTACTACAATCAATTACAATTACAAACATTCAGAGAACCGATCCATCTTACGCCACACCAATGCAGAGATGAGTTGGGAGACTGCTCATGGACTGGGTCACGCGATCGCGTTTTGTCAAGCCCTCGGTGAAGAATACAGGCGGCTCGTGCACTCGCCACCTGTACCCCCTAGTGGCGATCCAGCTCAGGAATCCTCTTCATCTCTACTCCCAACTCATCTCTACGATAACAAATATCCTTTAACGTCTTTTGACATCTTTTACCAACAAATCCAGCAAGCTCTGCGGCGATGAACTACCCATGATGATTTTAAAAAGAACGGCTCACGGCGGCTTCTTCAGGGCAATTGCCGGACCGCGATCCCTGACCGCAACCCGGCTCCCGGATTGGACGAAGTCGTCTTTGTCGGCCCGAGCCCGCTTGTATGTAAACAAATCTAACGATCGATTCTCATCGCCTTTTTTTTCCTATAACCCACTACCTCTCAACAATTTTCGATTTGCAAAGTGTGTACCTTTATTTCAAATATTACTAGACCGGAAGTACTAGTGATCTCGTTTTTTTATAGAGCAATGTCTACAGTTATTACGAGTGCTGCATACCACATGCACAAAAGGTTAAGCCCATTGTCCCTAGCAGCGTTGGCTCTGGTTAGGCCAGAACTATATATATACATAAGTACACGCCCAGCATGAAACGTGGATCAAGTTTCGAGAGGTCCACCAGAGAACGGCACGGACGGAGACGCGCAGTTCGCGTTCGCGGTTCCTCAACTGGGTCGTGCGGTAGCTCGGTCGGTGGCGCGCCCTACCTTCGTCGGGCGTCTCCGAGGTCGCTCGGGCATCTCCGGCCGATGATTGCCGAGCGCACATTACTATTTTCAGGCACAAGAAGGCACCTCTTGACGGGTTTTCGATAAGCGAAGGGCAGCGGTGCTCGCGAGTTTTTTCTTTTTTAATTTTGGACCCTACGCGACGGCAGATGCCGAAATTCTAGTGGCAGCGAGTGTGCGCGCGCGCGGTTATCGCGGACAATGCTGGAGCGCGTCTCGGCAGGTCTTGCCTGACGGTTGTGCGGTGCGAAGATGAAAGAAGCTCGTCGGGCCGAGCAGCTGATGGCGGCCGAGTGCTGTTGGAGCCCCCGTGTCTCGCGAGTCTCCCGTTGCCGCGTCCGCGTCGAGTGAGCGCACCCGAGACGACCGTGCGTGCACCCCCAGCCGGCCGGTGCCTCAACGAGCGGCCATCCGAGCCACCCTCGAGCCACGTTCCGGCCGACCCAGGCGGCTGCCTAACGGTGCTCGACTCGAAAGCGAGCGCCGAGCCTCCGCCGGCCACCGATCGTCGGCGCGACCCGACGCGCTAGCTAGGCCCGACCCGAGCAAAACCCGGGACGCCCGCCACCGCCCCGAGTCGGCCCCGAGTCCGACCTAGGTGTGCTGCTCCAGAGACCGCGGCGGCCCGGCTGCGCCCTGGACCCCCGGGAGCGTCCTGGTAAGCTCGATTTCCGTCTCTAGGTGCACGGCCCGTGGCCGAGCCCACGACTCGGCCGTCTCCCGACCGTTCCACCCGGCCCTCGAGGCTGACGCCGACCTTGGTGTTTCCGGGCAGCCCAGGTCGCCGACGCGGAACTGTTCGGACTCGGCGGTTCCGCCTCCTAGACCGCCATCGTCCTCCTAGAGCCTTCGGGTCCTGCAACGGAACAGTAGGTTATCGACTGGACTACTCCCGGTGGTTCCGTCGGTGCAGTGCCTCGTCCTTGTGAGTGCAGTGAGCTCCTCGTCGTCGCAGCCTCCCTCGGCTTCGCGGAATGCTGCCTCGTTCGAGTGGGCGCAGTCTCCTCTAGCCACGCCGACCGCTGCTACGACGCAGCCCAGGAACGAACGCAGTCCCACGGCTCCTGCGGCTCCCTCCAGCTCCCGAGGTGTCTCTGCCAGCTCCAACATGTCATCCGCGACCTTTGTCGACCGAATAGATCCGTTCGCCAAGCGATCCCTCAAAAAGAAGTCCAAAAAGTCGCAAGGTTCGTCTCGCTATCGCAGCTCGCAAGATGTGGAGCTCCAGCAGTTGCCGCAGCTCAAAGGTAAGATTCGCAGTAACGCTAGTTCGACGTAAGTTCGAATACGTAACCTTAGATCGGCTGCGTATTTTATGGGGAAAGGGAAAGAAACCTAATGAATATACGTACGTATTAGGATATCGGTTACCATAATACTCAAAATACTCCTTCCGATAGTGGAATACTTATCGTGCAACGATACCGGTTTTGATAGAAGTAATTGTGGTCATTTTGATATTCTAGTTTGTTTACGCTGTTTCAGGTAATCCCTGTCTTACGGAACGTCATTCGGTTTCCTTTTTGCATGCGTTAAACAAACTCTGTCAAATCTTGTCCCTGTGGATACAGAAGCATATAGGAACCTCTTACATAATTTGGTATAACAGCTATTTATGAAAGGAGTAGATCCATGTAATTTCAACGTGTGAGACATATAGCTTCGCTGTCATCTGGAGGCAAGCTCGTCCTATTTTTGGACCTTACACTTTGTATGCGACTTCCATTAATCTAGGGTTGACATTGTTGCATATCCTTTGATAAAACGGGGCCATGAGTTTATAAAAGGCAATTATACCCACGTATATATCCAGATGAGGACTTTTCTAACATTCGAAATATACATCCTGAAAATGGATTTCAGTGTCGACAGAAAATGTCACAGGGCTGTCGACACTTAAATTTACAAGTAGCACGGGGGCCTTCCGCTCTATATAAATAAGCTATTCTCAAACGTGTTTCCACTCGTCTACCCGCTCCACGTGAACTCAATAAATTTAAGTTCCCCGAGCATAACAACAACAACAATTATGAAGCCTCCAAACGCGTAATTAGCAATGTCAGCGCGCCGATAAGAAATCCGTTTCACGTAGGAAGTCGATATCTCGATTAACGCCAAGTGTTGCACAATTCTGACAGCCCTAGAGGTCTTTTTTTATTTCTACCGGAAGCGAAGGCACGTCGATGCACAATTGGCAATGTGTCCAATGCTGCCGTAAGCAACGACGACGGCTATCACGGCCGAAAAGCCAACGAGAAGCTAATTAATCGAAGATCGTACATCTCGTCCCCCGGTGGAAAATGTTAACGCGGCTCGTTAAATCGATCTGCACTCGGCAACTTTTTTTTTTGCAATGCATTTTCCCATCAGGCTGCCGCCGTTGTGTCGCGACCGTTCGATTTAATTGCAAAGCTCGTTACGTATACCTCTGGCATTACTTCGAAAGCTTGGATTATTCTTGCCCTTTATCAGCACGCGGTACGAATTTATTTCCGGGATGCGGAGGAATGCCAAATGCGGCTCTCGTTAGCCGTTAAAATTTCCGACAGATACGAAAGCTATTCGAATGAATTAATCCGAGTAAAGGCCCAGTAACGGCGAATATTCTTTGGGATTTTCACCTCTAGCATTCCTATCTCCTCTTTGCGACTTTAATTGACATAAAATAACGCCGTCACCAAAACGCACGGCGTCGGGAGAGGACGAGGCACTTGGAGAGACACGGGCTAGAAAGGATTTGAATAACAGATACACTCGCGTTCTGACATTTTCTTTCTTCTCTTTTTCTTCTCTTCCCTCCTCCCACTAGGCCGCGAAACGGGTAATGAATATTCGCGTGGAGTTTGCACCGATTCGGAGGGGGGGGGCATTAACGAATGCATTCGGTTTTTATGTACGTACGCAAGACGCGACAACAAAACGCTTATTGTTCCGCACATCGACGTCCAGGCTCCGAAAACTCCTGGAACGCGTGCATCTGCATTTTGCGCCTTATACCAATGGCGAGGTGAATATAATCGCCGAGGACCGGGAGATTCTAAATCTAATTCCACCTCGCGATGCCCGATCCCCCGTATACATCCATGCCAGGCGTTTAATCGATCGAGTCCCCGGGCCCTAATTGTCTAATTGAATTTCCCGAGTGCAGGAGAGGCGCGGGACTTTCAGGTAAATAATCGCTCCTTCCGAAATTCCTCGGGGGGATTTTCACGCGTGGCGACACGATTTCGGGAATCGAAAACCGGGGGCGCGGCGGGAATTTCTCAAATTCCAATTTCCGGTAATAAGATACGTGAATCCGACGGCCTCGAAATTGCCGGGAGCGGGCGCGCCACGTGGTCGGCAAACGTCACTTTAACGGCCCCCAGGCAGCGACCCCGATATCGACCTGGATATCGGATTTCACGATTTCTTCTTAATTTTCTCCCTTCCTCGTTCCGACTTATTGGGGGAGATGGAGGGGAAATAAAATAAAGGAAATATTGAAAGCGGTAAGACCGGCGGGCGCATCCATGGAGCTGATACACCGAGAACGACATTTTTTTTCAGCCAAAGAAATATTTCTTTGGTTTGATATTTGTTCTCTCGGATCTTTTTTTGTACTTTCTTTCGTGTTTATCCCAAATAGGGCAGTCACGAGAACATGCTGGAGGATTTGTGCCACGCTTGCGCGGTAAAAACTTCCGGGAACTTTTAGAGAGAGAAGGGACCTCCTCCTGACAACCCCACTCCTACCTATGTCCTCTCCATTTCTATAAGTTCTATGAGCGTATCGATGGACGATGGGCGATAAGGGCCCGCGAGATAACGCGAGCTCGGGTCAGTCGGCAACCGCGACCCGGCCGCGAATTAAAGTTCGACTCGCGTATATTATCGACCGAGCCGGTCCAAGAAGCTTCGTCGAGTCCTCGATCAACGGCGCTCCGGCGATCCGCGATAAGCAGGAAGGATGATCTCCCCGACACGTGTAGATCGGAGCGGATGATAAATCACGCGGGCACTCCATGATCGATGGGGAAAGTAGGCAAATTACGGGACACCCGACCGGGGGGTCCTGCAGGTGCGAAGGAAACGAGGACCTGTCCTTGCGATACCGTATCTCTCCTCGCCAATTTTTGCCCCTCGCTGAAAAATCGGATTTTCATTTTTTCCGCTCTCACAATCATCAATAAATCGTCGTAATTCCGAAGAAATATTGCATCCAATTTATTCGATCTTCTTTGATTTACATTTTCTTTAAGTCGAATATTAATATAATTATTCTTTGGTTCAATGAAATTTTTTTTTCGCGAAGTAGGGGGGAGATGTCTATTTTTTTTCTAGTCTTCTCTCACCGCGGCCGCGCGGGTCGTTCAGGATTCGGCTCCGAGGAGGATGCTCGAAAATAACCACGTGACCCATTAAGTGGCATCACGTTCCCCGGCCACTTACGCGATCGACGTGTCCTTGCCGACGAGTCGTTCACCTCGATCGAGAGGACCACGCGGGGGTACACGCTGGCGTAACGTACGCGCTCGGCTTATATAAACACGTGCGTACCCTGGCGCACGCGTGCCCGCTCGCCCGCGGCTCCGATTCGCGGTAATCGGGCGCGTAATCGGACGCGTAATCGCCCAAACTCCGATTAGCCGGTAACGAGCGTCTCGGACGAGTCGATGAGCGAGGGGGTGGCGTTATCGATCGAAGGGATGACTCGAATGGGAGAGATCGCGGATATTTTTGGAACCCTCGAATAAAGGTTCTCGTTTATAACGTTCGCGCTACGCCGAGGTGGAAATTATTTACGAGGACCCCTTCGGGGACCTTCCTCGCCCCCGTGGAGGCCGCCGTTTCCTTTTCCCCGCGCGATGCCTTATCGAATCTCCGCGGAAACTCGTTACCGGAGAGGGCCGCGCGCCCTTTCGGAACTTCATCGATCGAGAAAGTTCCTTCCTTCCTTTACCTCGTACTTTTCCTCCCCGGTCGGAAGGAGGAATTGCGTTTTATCTCCCCGGCGAGATTCCCTTGCACCGCGTTACCGGTCGTCGGCGGTCCTTCCCTCGGCTTTAAATCTTTCCGCCGGCCCGGGGCACCTTTGACCGACGTCCGCGGGACGTTAATTATGGAGGAGGTCGACGCGCCGCGCACCCCCGACGCCATCGACCACCGGCACGCGTGGGTTTCGCCTCCCTGAATCTCGAGCGACGTCCTCGACGTCCTCGACGTCTACACCGGACCGCCGTTATCGATTCCCCGTAGATGGATTCGAGCGCGGCCTTCTCCTCGATTCTCGATTCGCGGACTTACGGGGGCGGCCGCCATCTTGGCCGCGGGGCGGTCACGTGACCGCGGCCATTTTGAACGGTTTCGCGCCGCCCGGGTAGCCTCCCTCGGTCGCCCCCGCCAAGGGGGTCGACGACCTCTCGGCGAGTCGCCGTCCGATCGACGGCTCGGTCACTGTCAAGATCGCGTCGGCCCCGGACCGTATGTATCGGATCTCTTGCTCGAAAATTTTCTAGAAGCCCCCGGAGAAAAGAAACGTCGGTCGACCCGAAGGAATATGCGTGAAAAATTTTCATTGAACCGAAGAAATATTTTGTTAATTCGAGGAATAATTATTTCACTCGAATACCCTCGGATGAACGAGATGCGACGTTTAATCGGAATTGGGACAATTTATTTCAATTAAATAATTATTAGTTCTCTTCTTACACCGCGATGCGAGGTTTAGGTGCATATGGTCCAAGGGTCCCGATCGGAAGGTCGCGCGGCCCTCGTTTCCTTCCGGAGGCGAGAAAAAGAGACGGGTCGCGACGCCGTTCGAGGCGATGGGAATTTGGACCGTTTCACGGTCCCGGGATGAGGCGACCCGCCGCCGATCGAAGCCACGGTCGAGAAAAGGTCGAGCGCGGCTTTGCCCCAGTCCGCGCCCCTTTCTTCCTTCCTCCTTGACCCCGATCGGGCCGCCTTGATATTGAACTCGATATCGGGCGAAAGCGGACTCGGCGAGCGGGCAATTAGTCCCCGAGCTAGCTCCGCTCGCTGCCGACTGGGCGACCTTCCCCGCCTCTCGACGTTTACGCGAAATCGCCGAGCGACCGGCACCGCCGGCGCGACGCCTCGAGGTCGAGGTCGCGACCCGACGCGCGGCAGTCATTGCCGAGGTCGGCCCGGACGGCGCACGCGGATCGCGCGTTGACTTTGCCGATTCCCTCGGAGCACCTCCGGTTCGATCCGTGAAATTTGTGGGGTTAATGTTCGATTTTTA